GTTTAACAGCACTTTCACTTCTGAATGCCCAGAGTCCTTAAAGAAGCTGTTGGTGCATTGAGTCAGCCCTGACTCTTCACAAGCCCATGTGTCCAGAATAAACACGAGCCTGTCCCTGCACCATCCTCACACTCTGACACACGGGCACTGCACCAAGGCTTCTCAGTGAGGGTCCTCCTTTCCCTCACTTGCCCAAGGCAGGATGTTCTTTTCTGGGGACTGTCTTCTCCTGACAACATTCTCAAAGTATATGAAACAAAGAAGAGGTATATATATCGTGGCAAGAATCTGCGCTGCAAACCTGTAGACACGCAGTTCAAGGCCACCAGCTGCTTCACGGGAGAAGGATGGACAATCTCCTCCTGCTCGATTCACTGCCTCTGAAAACCCACCAGAGGGTCAGCTAGGGGTCAGTTCCAGCTCCACGGTCCACAACAACAAATATCTATCTATCTGGTGACTTAGTGGTAAGGAGCTGTGCTGCCAACACAAAGACATGTGATTTGAACCCACTGGAGCGGGATGGGCAATCTCGTCCTGTGCAATTACTGCCCCTGAAAATTCACTGGAGGGGCAGCTGTGGGTCAGTTCCTATTTGATGGTATTTAACAACAACAACAACAACATAAATGGCAAATAAAAATATGAAGTGATGTTTAATATAATTTGTCAAGAAATTTAAAATAAAAACCGCATCTAATGGCTGAAGTCCAAAACACCAACAGCATCAGAGGCTGGGGTGGACATGGAGCAATAGGAATTCTCATTCACTGCTGGTGGGAAGGCTGAATGGGGTAGCCACTTTGCAAAGCAGTTTGATACTTCCCTATAAAGTAATCATATATTCACTTACAATGTCCCTCTCCCAGGCATTTCCTTGAGAGGAATGACAACTTATGCCCACACAAAATCTATACTAGAATCTCTATAGTGGTTTCATTTGTAATAGTCAAAACTGAAAAATCCAAATAGACAATGGTGGATGCAAACCCTCAGAAACACTGAGGCAGTCCCTGCTGAGACCACGGCGTGTCAGAGCAGACCTGTGCTCTTCAGGGTCCCAGGACTGCTGTTCTGGCCTAGATCTTTGGATTGTTCTTCTGAGGTATCCCTGGTTGGATTTTTTTTTCCCCTGGTTGGATTTGAACTACCAATCTTTCTGTTAGTAGCTGAGTGCTTTAGCCATTTTCACCTTCCATGTCAATTATGCTTCAGTTATATCAAACTCAAATACTCACTGCCTTTGAGTTTGAACCAGCTCATAGCTGGGAGGTTTAAAGGAGGCAGTAAATCTCACGGGAGGAGTAGATTGCTTATCTTTTTCCTGTGGAGCCACTAGTGCGTTGGAATCTTCAGAGGCAAAGGCTCCAGTTAGCGGCTCTACAGACTGGCTGCCAGCGCCTCGCTACAGTATTAAAAAAGGAATCATTGACAAGAGCAATAAAATCTACTGTTCTAAATGCATTCTGCTGAATAAAAGCAACACCATACTGAAGGCTATACCCTCTCTATAATTTCATTTTTTGGTGCATTTTGGAAAAGGCAAAACTAAACGGACAGAAAGCAGAGTGATGATTGCTGGGGGCTGGAGGTTGGGGCGGAGGGTTGACTGCAAAGGCTTCTGGGGAGTGTTAGAGGAGACAGAACTGCGTGTGATCGAAATTGTCAAGGATTTATTTGGATTCACAATCAGTAAAAAGCAACAGTCTGAAAAATCAAATGAAGCATTGCTTTGGGGAAATCCTTTGCCAAGAACCTCTTTAAAGTGCTGAAGAACAAGGATGTCACTTTTAAGACTAAAGTGTGCTTGACCCAAGTGTAGTCTCTTCAACTGCTTCTTATGCACAAGCAAGTTGAGGAGTAAATAAGGAAGACTGAAGAGTTGGTGCCTTTGCATTGCAGTGATGGCAAAGAACACTGGGTAGACCAGGGGCTGCCAAGAAGGAAACCAATCTGTCTTGAAGGAGCTCCTGAGACACGTGGACGGTGAGCCTCACATTGGGTGTCTTGTTAGGATGGGCCAGGCCCTGAACAAGGACATCACAGCTGATAGAGCCAGAGGAAAATGGAGATCCTGTGAGCTGACGAACAGTGACTCCCACAGCAGACTGAGGCACAGGAGAAGCTGTGCGGCTGGCGCTGGGTCAGGTGAGGCTCTGCTCTGCTGTCCGTGGGGCTGTTAGGCGTTAGGACAACCCCATGGCGCCCACCAACAATGGGGCTGCTTTTATTCTGGATTGTAGTAACGTGTGCACCACCACATGCATTTATCAAGACTTGTAGAACTGTGAATTATATTATGAATAAATTATATCTTAATAAAAATTTTTTTTTGCTGTCGATTTGGAACTGACCCGTGGCTGACCCTCCAGCAGGTTTTCAGAGGCAGTTAATCACACAAGAGGGGACTCATCCTTCTCCTGCAGAGTGGCTGGTGGATTCGAACTGCGTGCCTGTGGGATCGTGGCACAGCTCCTTGCCACACTAGTCTACCAGTGAGAGGGGAACAAAAGAAGATGAATGGCTCTCACCGCTTGCTGTACCCCTGTGGCCTCATTCTGGTCATACATAATGCCCTCCTGCTGACGCCCTTCTCCTGGGACCTCATTCGGGTCTCTGTCCTTTTGGCCGGGAAGCAAGCGACCCCTGCTCTGGGGCATGGCTCCACCCTTCCTCTTCCTGCTCTTGGCTCACCTGTCACCTTCCTGAGGAACTTGTTGAAAGTGAATCGTTGACTTGGGGTCAATTGGTCTAACAGAGTCCACAAAGACAGTATTGCCCATCCTGCTTTAGTGAGTTGTTGTGTACCGTCAAGATGGAACTGACCCATAGCTGACCCTCCGGCGGGTTTTCTGAGGTGGTTAATCACACGGGAGGAGACTGTCCATCTTCTTCCCACAAAGCAGCTAGTGGATTCGAACTGTGTGCCTTTGGGATTACAGCACTGCTTCTTGCCACTGGGCCATCCAGCTCCCCGCTTAGTGAGCAGTCCCAGGATCCTAAACGCTTGTGAGTGACCGTCTAAGGTGCAACTATTGCTTCTCTCTGTCGAGAATCAAAGATGCATGGAAACAGTAGCCCAAAGGATTCATTGGCCATTCAGTTGTCAGCGTCCAGGACCCTGAGGCCAGAACTGGACAGTGCTTGGTTATCACTGCTGACCGTTCTGAAAGGGGTCAGGTAAAGGTAAAAGGTCTCTGATGGCATGGGAGAAAAATGGGTAACAACACTCAAAGTCATAGAAAAGACCAAGCTCACCGCACGAGCTCTCCCACTGACTGCTCCAGGGGAAGTCTCAGTAGAAAGACCTGGAGAGAGTGGGCAAAAGCTGTGTGACAAAACTCAAACCCACAAAACCAGCCAGGCATCCTGCTCTGATGCAGATGGATGGGAACCTGAGGCTGTGGATGTTTGTTGCCCTTCATCTCACCCAGTGACTCAATGTGCCGCCGGATGACAGACACGGCTGTGAGATGACTGATTATACCAGGGAGGTGTGCAGTCCTTGAAGAACCAACTCTGCAAGCTCACAAGGGCAGCAACTGGCCAGACCTTAGAAGAAGTAGCTAGAAGGACTAATGGAAATGGGAACCAGAGGGAGGAAGTGGGAAGATCACACAGCTACGTTGTGTGTATTGTAATTAACGGCACAAAGCAACATGTGCATGAATGGAAAGCTTTATAAACTGTCACCCAAATCACACACAAATACACAGGGTCATTCACACAGAGTAATAGAGTGTAGTACATAGTTCTATCACCTTGGAATGAGGAAGACATTTAAACATTATACCAATGCCAGATATAATGAAGAAAAAGATAAACTAATAAGATTCTATCTATATCTATGTCTCTCTATCTCTATCTCTATCATCTATATATTTGTTCCCATTCCAAAGAAAGGTGATCTGACAAACTGTGGAAATTATCAAACAATATTATTAATATCACATGCAAGCAAGATTCTGCTGAAGATTATCCAAAACTGACTGGAACAGCACATCAGCAGAGAACTACCAGAAGTGCAGGCTGGGTTTAGAAGGAGTCGAGGTACTAGGGATATTGTAGCTAATGTAAGATGGATTTTGGCTGAAAATAGGAGGTACCAGAAGAATGACTGGGGTAAAGGGGGTGGGTATGTAAGAGACAATAAGATTGGCAAGGGATAGAGCAGGGTTCAGAGCTATTGTACATAGGGTCGCTATGAGTTACAGGCCACTCAATGGCACATAACAACAACAACAACAATTAATATATATAATGAAATGGACATGTATTCATTTTCATTCTCCTTACTGCTGGATTGGAACTGACTCATACGGAGGTTGCCTGTCCTTTTCCCTTGGAACCACTGGTGCATCTCAACAAAGACGTGGGTTTGGGTTGGCAGCACACTCCTCTGTGGACTGTGCCCCAGGGCTCTGGACACACACACACACACACACACACACACACACACACACACGGCTTACTGATCTGACAGAGACGGGGGCCCCGAGAGCCCTTCAAGCCTGGAAGTGCAATCTGCCCTGTGACTCAACTTTTAGCCTACTGATAAACCTGTAAAGAGATCAATACATCAGGGAGAAATACACTCCGACAGCAGCCCACCCTGTGAGACCAGAGGGTCTGTGCTCGCCCAGGGATAAAGGAAAAGGGAGGCAGGGAGGGGCAAAAACCCATGTGGAGTCCCTGGATTTTGCCCAGTTGGGCAGGATGGAGTCTTACCCTGGTCCACCGACTACTGCATTCTAGTTTGAAAAGAGCTTTGGAGGCAAAGGGCCACCAGGAGTTGAAATCAACTCAACAACACAGTGCAGTAGGTGGGTCCTTATTTCATCTGAGTTCCATCTTGTCAAAGAGGCGAGTGGACAGGAGGAGGATGGGCACGCGTTGATGGAGCCAGATGCCCAGAGCAGGAAGAGACCTCCCCCCAGAGCCCTCAGGGCATCCACAGAGGGACGCCTGGGCTCCGGCTTCCAGCTCCAGAACCCTGTCACCAAGCCTGCACCGTGCCAAAGGCGGACACCAAAAGGCGGGTAAAGTGGCAGCCCCCGGGTGCCCCCGCTCTCATGGCTCTCAGCGCTTTTATGACGGCTGAGTATGGCGCCAGGTGGACGTCCCGCTGTGCGCTTGGCAGGGCAGTGACGCAGAGCACAGGTGTGACGTCATCCCCATGAGGGCACTGCGGGGAAACCCCAGGAACCGGACTTCTGTGCAAACCACAGACAGGACAGTGACAGAAGGGAGACACTCGATCCTCACAGCAACTAGCCTTATAAGGAGGGGGTGAGCTAGAAGGATGAACGGCGATGAGACTCACAGGGAGGGACTGGGAAGAGCGTGGTTAGACTGCAGGTGTTGTAACTAAGGTTATGGTTGAGTGGAAACCAGCTTGGTTAACTTCCACTCAAACCACAATGAAAAACAAAAAGAGAAAGAAACACGCCATCCCACGGCAAGTGTGGCGACCTCTCTCAACAGCGCACAGGGAGCAGCCCTGCCCTGGGAGCCTCAGCCCTAGCTGGGGTCAGCAGGGCACACTGACCTGAAGTTCTGGGACTCGGATGTCCTTCCTGCCGAAGTGTGGCTGCGTGGCTGGTCACCGTGCTGCTTGTTCATGGCTGCGCTGCAGGTGGGGCCACTGGCCCCAGTGTCACTTCTGTGCTCGCTCCGAATAGGCCAGTCTTGTCTCTGGGGCTCCTCGTCCATCTCCCAGTCCTGACCTCACCCTGAGGTCACAATGGCTCCAGTGTCCAAGCACCTTCTCCAGGGAATGTTGTGGAACTGCACCGGGTTCTGGGGATGACACGGGCATGTGTGTACACGTCTGTGTCCCTGCTAAGCCTTGGCCTGCCACCCTTCCGCCGTCCCCTGTGAGACCCCTGGGTCCACTTGGGCTGCTGGCTCACTGGGGCCAGACTCCTCCATGTGGGATGGGTCCACACGGTCGGTTCACTGAGCTTCTGGGAAATAAAACACGCAGCAAGAGCAATGAGGGTTCAAAAGACGGATTCCCCTCTCGACAGGGTTCACTATCGTCTTCTTGCTTACGTCATTGATGAAATGAGCGCCCAATTGGAGGGGCCCTTGTGGCGTGGAGCTGAAGGTGCCTTCTGGTCAACAGCAGTGAAGAACAGTCCTACAATGACACCCGGGTGAGCCTGGAAACAGAGCATTGGGGTGAGACCCCAGCCCCTCCCGATATGCCGGCTGTAGCTTCCTGATGGTCCCTGAAACGGAGGACCTGGTTGAGTGGGGTCTGGATTCCCAGCCTGGAAACTGGAGTGATAAAGGTGTGTTGTTTTAAACTTCTAAATGCTGAAATCCTTTGCTGTCACCAGCAGGAGACTGAATGACTGTGGGTTCGAGGTGTCCCCATCACACCCTGCCAGGTCCAGGAGGCTGCCCAGCCAAGCTGAGTCCCCACACCTGGTTGCTGGAGGTCTTGGGGCTCTGGGATCCTGTGTGGCATGGGTGGGATGCTACCCAGCAGCCCATGTGGGGTGATGCCTGAATCTGCTGCCCAGTCAGTGATCTCTCCAGGAGTCCTCCTGGCCATGTGAACGTGGCCCCCGTGTTCCAGAAATAACCTTGTGCCTGGACCAGGGTCAAGAGAGGTTGCTGAGAGGACAGAAACCCACTACCCACCTCTGGACGGATGGGATTTGAAGCTGGCTTGTGGGGGTTTAAATCCCAGCTCTGTCCCCTGTGACTGGTCCCCCTTTGAAGCAGTGCCACCTCCAGGCTTCAATGATCCTTTCAGTTGTGCTGTGGAGGACTGGGGTCAGCCCCCACAGCTGCGGGGTTAACGAATGCCTCCCAGTCCAAATGCAGCTACATCCTGTGGCTGTCCCAGAGAGCCTTGGGGGGGGGGGGCACAGCCCAGACCTGTCTTAGGGGATAGGCAAAAATACATCCCACACCGTCCTGGGGGACACGTGGTCACACTCACCCTAGGAGAGTAGGCGGGGACACACTCCATCCCTGTCCTTGGGACAGTCAGGGACACACTCCATACCTGTTGTGGGGGCAGGGACATATCACACCTGTGTGAGAGAAAGACAGGCAGGGAGTCATCCGCTCCTGTCATGGGGGCAGGAGACAATCGGAGATACGCTCCATGCCTGTTTTGAGGAGGTGACCAGGGACACACACCATGCCTGTGTGGGAGGGCAGTGGGCACACACCGTACCAGTGTGAAGAGTTTGGCATCTTGGGAGGCAGACAGGGACAAGGCCCCTGAGATGCAGAGAACAGACTGGCTTGGAACCCTGGAAGGAGGCTGAGGGCGGTCTGCCAGCCTCATCTGAGCACAGGAGGGCTGAGAGGAGAGTGAGGGCCTGCCTCCCTGAGCCTCACCTGAGCATAGGAGGGCTGATAGGATAGTGAGGGCCTGCCTTCCCCAGCCTCACCTGAGCACAGGAGACCTGAGAGGAGAGTGAGGGCCTGCCTTCCCCAGCCTCACCTGAGCACAGGCCTGCTGGAGCCCATCCACTTACACTTTATGCTTGTTTTTTGGGGGGAAGATGCCCATATCCAATACCCTCCACACAAACAGGACAAAGATGAGGCTGACACATCATTCCAGAACAAGGGATCTTGTTGGCTCGTTGGCTTGGGGCCGAGAGCGTTCTGCTGACTCACAGCCGTGGCTTCTGTTATAAGGTCTGAAGACAAAGAGCTTCATCACCACATCCTAGCTGGTGGCGGTCACCATCTGTTACCGCTGCAGGAAGGACAGCAGAAGTGGGTAAGGACCGTGATTGGGATACAATCGCAGATGAAAAAGTTGGCAGGATTGATTTTGGGGTTCCTGCCAGTGGCCGGGTAGTGGTCAGACCTTTACCTCATGGGAATCACCAAGGACATGGCTGGAAAAGTTCCCTGTCCTATTGTGCAAAATCCAGGGGTGACTGTCCCTCCCCAGGCGTTCTATCCACGTTCAACTCATCTGTTAAGTATGACTGTGGTGGTGGCTGAAGGTTGCTGTGATGTGTAAGCTATGCCACTGGTATTTCTAAAACAAGCAGGGGCACGAATGGTGGGCAGGGATGGTGGGTACAGATGATGGGCACAGATGGTGGGTGTTGATGGTGGACACTCATGGTGGGCACAGATGGTGGACACAGAGTGTGAGTATAGTGTGCATGGTGGGCAGGGGTGGTGGGCACACAGTGGGCAGGCTTCATCTGCAGAAATACGTAGTGGAGAAGTTCAATCTCCTTAGTCGATGAAGGTCAGAGGCTGACTGTTGAACAAGCCACCAAAGGACAATTTGCAAATTTAACATGAATGGAGAGCAAATGAAAATAAATCCAGGAGAGCCAAATCCCAATCTTGAGTATATCCCACTCGAATTTAGAGTGTCTCAAGAATCAATTTGAAGTATCAAACACTAATTACTGAAGATCAGACAAGTTGTGGGATGGTATTGAGGATAAAACACAGCAAGAGATTCTTTTTTTTTTT